TCAGCAAAAGGTGTTGGTGCAATTGGACATCCATAGGCAAACAAAACAAAACAAAACAAAACAAAACAAAAACCTTGACACAGATTTCACTTTTTTTTTTTTATTGATTCTAGAGAGAGCAGAAGAGAGAGGAAGAGAGAATCAGAAACATCGGTGAGAGAGAACATGGATTGGCCAACTTCTTCAAGCCCCCTCACTGGGGTTTGGGACCACAACCTGGGCATGTGCCCTGACCAGGAATCGAACCGGCAACCTCTTGGTACATGGGTCGACACTCAAACAGTGAGCTACACCAGCCGGGCTAGACTTCACATCTTATAAAAACATCAACTCAAAGTAAACAATGGACTTAACTATAAATCTTTTAGGATTAAAGATAAGAGAAGATCCTCAGGACCTAGTTCTAGTGAAGAGTTCTTCGACTTGACACCAAAAACACAATCCAAAAGAAAAATTGACATGCTGCACCTCAATAGAATTAAATAATTTTGCTTTGCAAAAGACTCTGTTAAAGAGAATGAAGACAAATTATGTACTGGGAGAGAACATTTGCAAACCACATATCCAGAAAAGGACTTGTATTTTGAATATATATAGAACTCTCAAAAATATACAATAAAAATCCAATTAAAACATTGGCAAGGACAGGAAGAGACATTTCACCAAAGAAAGCATACAAATGGTAAATAAACACATAAAAAGATATTCAACATCATTAGCCATTAGGAAAATGCAAATAAAAATTACAATAAGAGATCACTATCATACATCTATCATATTGGCTTAAATAACAGCAGTAATCATACCAATCGCTGGCAAGGATACAAAGGAACTGGATCAGTTGCACTGGTGGGAACGTAAAATGCTACATCCTCACTTGAAAAATAGATCAGCTGCTTGTTGGAAAACCAAACATACACTTAGAATTCAGCAATTGTACTTCTCGGCATTCGTCCCAGAGAAATTAAAACTTATGCTCACACAAAAACTTTTACTAAATAGTCATAGCAGCTTTATTTGTAATAGCCCAAACTGGAAACAACCCAAATGTCTTTCAATGGGTGAACTGTTAAACTCTGGTAGATCCACGTCAAGGAATAATGCTCATTAATAAAAAGAACCAACTATTGATATACACATCACCTTGGATGGATCTTAAGGGAATTATGCTATGTGGAAAAGAGCCAATCTTTAAAAAGTTACACACTGTGTAGTTCTATTTATATAACATTCTTTAAATACAAAATTATAGAACTAGAATACTGCTTAGTGGTTGTCAGGACAGTGATTCTGGTGGTGGGGGGCGGGAGTATGTGTGACTGCTAAGGGGCCATGAGAGATTATTGTGGTGATTGAGCACACATCCTGTACCTCGATTTGGGTGGTGGTTACATAGATATCACATATGATTACATTGCAGAGAACTATATTCATACACAGAAATGAGTGCATGTAAAACCAATGAAATCTAAAAAAGCTCTGTGGGTTGTACAATACCAGTTTTGGGGTTGTGATACTGTACCACAGGGATGCAAGATGTCATTGCTGGGGAAACGGGGTGGGTCACGGAGATTTTCCTGTACAATTTTTTTCTTTTGCAACTTTCTGTGAAACTATAAACATTGCTAAATAAAAAGTTTAAAAAATACCTCTAGGGTAAAGCCAGATGTTTGGAAGATGCTGTGAAATAGCAACATGACAAAGAACGAAGTCAGAACAATGTCACGAACAAATAGTAGTCAGGTCAGCAAGGTGGACCTTGAATGGACGCCATGGCTAAGGTGTTGGGAACATTTTTAAATTATCTGTAGAACAGAAAGAAGGGACAGCTAGGCCTGTGGCTGAGAGCTCATGCTTAATGTTAATTAAAACAATTTAATTGGGTAGCTCAATTGGGTGGAGTGTCCTCCCATACACCAGAAGGTTTCGGGTTCGATCCCCAGTCAGGGTATGTTCGGGAAGAAACTAATTGATGTTTCTCTCTCTACCTCTCCCTTCCTCTCTTTCTAAAAATCAATAAAAAACAAATCCTCAGGTGGGGATTAAAATAAGAATAACAACAAAATCCATAACTTTGCTATCTACATTTTTGGGGGTCTTCTCTGTCAAGAAGAATGTCCTTCAAAGATGAGGAAAAGATAGATGCATATAAATATAAAGGACCAGGGAGTGAAGTGGAGGGGATGGAAGACATGGTACATCCCTGCAACCAGCAGATGAGTGAGTCCTGGAGCCCTAACACGCAGTGCGGTGGCTGCGGCCAGTACTGTGTTATAAACATCAAATTTGCCGAGAGACTAGATCTTAATTGCTCTCAACACCAGAAGAACTGATAATCATGTGATGTGATAGAGGTGTTAGTGCTACAATGACAATCACATTGAAGTATAATATATCCAATCAATATATTGTACACTAATTTACAAGTGTCATATGTCAATCACAACTCAATAAAAAATATTTATTTATTAAATAAATAAATAAATAAATCAGTTCTTCAGACTAAAATTAGTGGGAGGAAAGATCATGAAGAAGGACGTGAAGCCTGAAATGGAGGGGGCTCAGTGTGAGAGGTCAGGCAGATGACTTCCCCAGGCCACGTGGGGGCAGAGCTCCTGGAGTAAAAAGACGTGTCAGGATGGTGACAGGAAGATGGGAGCCAGAGGGGAGCACATCCCAGAAGGAGTCGACAGGGACAAACCTAAAGTCTCTTGCTGAAGCCCTATTGATGTGGGCAGGAGCTGGGGCTGAGAGGGGCTCCTGAGGAAAGACCTGGGTTTTGTTGACTCTGCAGGGCTCAAGCCTCTTCAGAAAACTAAAGCAATCTTTGCAGAAATCAATCAATAAATCAGGGTTCCTGGAGCCAGTTAGTGCTGAAACAAGTAGTCTCAGTCACCTCAGTAAGACCAGAGGGGTCACTGTGTTACAGGGCCCCACGGGGATGAACGTCCACAATGGCACTCATCTAAGATGTTCCATTTGTTCTGTGATCTCTGTGCAGGAAGACAGGAAGCCATTAATGCATTTAGGAAAATATTCCTTTCATGCAAACTAGAGTAGTTTTGTTTCTTGGTTAGATATTTAGTCAGGGGCATCCACGACCCAAGTCAGAAGTCTGGGCTCTACCCTCAACCCTTGCATCTCCTCACTTGCCAGTCCCAAGTCACAGCCCCACTCATTTGACTTGTAATATTTCTCCAGGCCATTCCCCCTTTCCTTCTGTACAGCCTCTGCCTCTCCTGCAGCCACGCTCCTCTCTGTCCTCAGCATCACTCTTCCAGCTTGTCCCCATCTATGACAGTGAGTAACCCCTTGGCCCAGCTTGCGCCCCTCCGAGCTCCCGTGGCCCTGAGGGTCCAGTCCAGATTAATCGGCCCTGGTCTCAGTCCTCACTGGGCTTTCCCCACCCGATTTTGGTTCCACGGTCTCGTTTGTGTTTCTTTGAATACTCCTCTCGAGTATATTGTATAATGTGTTTTGTTTTTTCTTCTTTATTGATTTTAGAGAGAGAGGAAGGGAGAGGGAGAGAGAGATGGAAACATCGATGACAGAGAACATTGACTGACCGCCTCCTGCATGCCCCCACTGGGGATTGGGCCCACAACCTGGGCATGTGCCCTGACTGGGAATCAAACTGGCAACCTCTTGCGCATGGGTCAGCACTCAACCATAGAGCCACACCGGCCAGGCTTTGTGAGTATATCTTAAACATGTGGCTTCCTACCCCACCCCAGACACCATATCCTTTTGCCAACTAACCGTTCGCTTTATCCATTCAACTTGAGAAGAGGTCTCAGCTCTGACCTCCAGGGCCCCACACCAGACTCCTCTACAATGCCAGGTGCAATATCAGTGACCACGGTGATGAATGGTATAGAAATAGGTGATGGGTGGGCTCGCCCTGCCAGCCTCCTGCCACCACTGACAAGACTAGGCTCCCTGAGGCCAGAAGCCATGTTCATTCGAGTCTGTTTCCTCGTGCTGGGTGCAGTGTCCAGCAGGTAGCAGGTACTGAATATGTTTGATGAGCTGACTTTGTTTGAACATTTCATTATCTTAAAAGTCAGATATCCAGAATGCTGCATTCCCCAAAGTTCTGAACAGCCAACAATTACTAAAGTCACTCACATGTGTGCCTTTACTGTCCCCACACTGTAAATTCCTAAAAGCAGCACACCAGACCCTTCAGCCCTGTAGCCCCATAAATCTAAGTAGCTATCTACACGAACAGATGCTGGAGCAGAGGGGCACTGAGGCCAGGGGACAGAGCGCAGTCCCGAGCATATGTCTTCCAGAAAGGCCCGGGAGTGGGGAAGGCTGATGGACCTGGAAGATGATTTGCAGAGCATATTCTAGAATGGGAGACCAGAGCTCCCTTGGGGAAGCACTCGCTGGGACTTTGAATGCTATAAATTCTAGAAGATTTAAACAGCGCATCACCTGTGTAACACTGAGCAAAACAAATAAAGACAACAGTCGGCTGAATTTTTAAAATCCGAGTTAAACCTAAACAAACTAATTATGAAGCAATGGACATATCTTAGGCAACAGGACATAGAGAAAGCATTCTCTTGTCAACACATCAGTCATAGCAGAAGTCGCCTTAAAGCATTTCAAAAGCATTGCATTAAATAAGTGTGAGGCCCTTGGTCAAGCTTTGTGACCATCATCATTCCTCTGGTTTCATACTGCCACTTCATCACACAACCTGCGTGTCAGAATGAGACTAATAAAAAGGAGGGGCATCAAATAAGCATTAGCATTAATCTTATTGAAATATAAATGAAAGAAATTGTGAAGCTTAAAAAAACCCCACCATGTGCTAAAAATACAGCATCTATTATTAGCATTACACAAATTCTGGATTGAAGCATTCCAGAAATGTATTGGTGAGAGTCTGTGGTGCAAACCCAGACTTTCTATTGACAGCTCTAGTCTTCTGTCACCAACAGAAAGCCTACCTCACCAGGCAATGCCATCACTGGGGAGCAGTACTTTACCCATGATTTCAAAGGACTCCACTGTCGACAGCATGGTTTGGTCCAGAGCCGCTCTTTCTCCAGCGCTGGCTAAGAACTCTTCCTCCTTGAGAATTGCCTTGTGTTCCATTGCTAAGCTTTATAGGTGGTGAAAGTCCTGGAGCCAGCAGAAATGCTTCCCTCATGGGGAAAGATTGTTCTCATTTAACTACGGTAGCTAGTTGTGGACCACGCAGCACTTCCCTTTGGCTCTGATTTCTGAATTTGCAAAATGTTTCCTGCCATGGTCAGGATTGAGCATTTCCCAGAAACAGGCTATTCACATGTGCAGCTCCAGCTGAGGGCAGCTGCTTGTTAAGGGTGGTCTGGTCGTGTCAAGGTGGCTTTCAACACAAGTTCTTGAAACCACCCCTTGCTCCCTGGCTCCTGAGCGGAGAGCTGGTTGACCCCAGGGAGGCACTTTCTCTACTTCCCCTCTTCCTACCCAGACCCAGCTCATCGCCCAGGACCTCTCCATCCCACACTAAAATCTCTCTCCCGTGACCTCCTTCTACTCTTGGGGTTCATCCTGGCTGCTCAAAATGTGGACCATGGACTGGCAGCATTGGCATCATCTAGAAACTTGTTAGAAATGAAGTCTTGAGTCCCACCCCATACAGACAGAATCCAGATGTACAGTTTAACCAGATGCCCAGCTGATGTCTGCACACACTAGCATTGCAGAAGCACCGCTCTATGCCACACACCTTAGCATTCTATTGTATTTCCCCGTATAGTTTCCCATGTTCTACTGTGCACATATGTCTTGCTCTGGCCCCAGTAAGATCTTGAGGGGAGAAACTTGAGGGGAGAAACCTCTTGCTTCTGTCTCCTGTGCTGAGCACACCCTGTCGGGGAGGTTGTATGGTACAGTGGTTAAGCACAGACCCCAAGAGCTTGAACTCCTGGGTTCAAATCTCACCTCCTCCATGTAGCAGCTCTGTGACTGGGCCAGTCATGTCAGCCTTCTGTGCCCTACTTTCCTCAACTGTAAAACAGGAAAGATTGCAGTCATTGTTATGCATATTCAATGAGTTAAATCCTGCAAGGTGGCTGAGACGGTGCCTCGTGGGCAAGGAGCACGAAGGTACTGTTGCCTGTGATCATCGGAGACTGTGAACCTGCAGGGTGCCCGGGAGATGAAACAACAGCCTTTGCCTTAGGAGTTCACAGTCTGGTGTGCAGGATGGATGCGTGTACAACTGAATTCCAGAAAACTGCTGTGCAGTGCGGTGGGGACTGAGGCACTTGAGAACAGACGTGGCCCGAGCGGGGCAGGTAGGATGGGAATACCACAGCAAGCTTCGTGATCAGACCTGTTTAAAGGGATGGCCATAGGTTACCTGGAGAGCAGGTAAGGCAAGGACCTCAGGGAGGCAAAATGGCAAGTGTGGCCTCACACAGGCAGGGGAACCACGGACTTCTGGGCCATTTGGAAAGTAAGGTGAGGAGGACAGGTGGTGGCCGATGAGGCTGGGCTGGCTGCCGCACTTGCTTTGCCCCGTGGCAGGAAGCCAAAGGAGGCAAAGAAACCTCAGGAGAGTGAGTCACTAGCAGTGTCCCACAAGGCAGAGGTCGCCAGTGGCACCCACAATTTCAACATTCTGGAAGTCTCTGGTTTGGGCGGAGGGCTAAGAACGGAAACCAGAAAAGAAGGTTAAAGGAGGCTGCTGGGAGTGAAGCAAAGAAGGCAACTGGTGGCTTGGTCGGCTCTGGGTGGACCGCGCAAGGCGGTGAAGCTGTGGGGGCTCACCCTGCTGGAGGGAAATCCCCCAGGCAAAGGGCCCCCTCACTGAGGCTGCACCTCCTCCTCTCTCTGCCTGGTCAGCTATGACCAAGGGCATCTTCGTGGGTGGGGGTGGCGAAGGGGCTCATTGGAGAACTCTGTGGGCACATTACCTAATACCACCATCCTTGGAAGGAGCATTTAGTGGATGTCAAGTGTAGATGTTTTGGCTCTGGCTATGGGGCCAGAAAGACCTGGGACCCAAATCTTTTAACTCTTTTATTAACTTGCCCTGTGACCTCACCGACTTACTTATCTTCTCTGGACCTTAGCACACAGTATAGCTTGCAGAACCTTTGACTGTGATCCAGGGTTTCTTAGGTGCCAGGCACTGTGTTGGACTTTACACATGGTACTCAACACTCACAACTCATAACTTGCCTCAGATCTGGTGGTTAGAATGTGATGAGCCCAGAATTCAGATCCAGAAGCCGTTTCACTCAGGAGCTGGAAGCCAGAGGTTCGCACTGGGGAGCTTTTTAAAAACACACATGCCAGTCCCCACCCCCAGACGGAAGCTCTGCTTTTTACTTTTGTATTTTATAATCCTCATCTGAAGACACGTTTCCATTGATTTTTCAGCTAGAGTGGGAGGGAGGGATAGAGAGGGAGAAACATCAATGTAAGAGATACACACCAATTGGTCACCTCCCGCATGACCCCAACCAGGGCCGGGGATCAAACCACAACCGAGGTACATGCCCTTGACTGGAATCAAACCTGTGACTTTATGGGCTGACGCTGTAACCACTGAGCCAAACCAGGCAGGGCTGGAGGCTCTGCTTTAACAGCAGCTACACAGTGGGTTCTAATGCACAGTCAGGCTGAGGACCCCTGTGCAGAGCAATGAAGTGGTCACACGCAGCATGAAGACCCGTGTGAGCCCTCAGAACTCCATCATAGGAAGATCCAGTAGGTTGAACCATATGAAGTTACTGATATTCATCCCTTTTGACATGCAATAAATGGCCACTTCATAAGAGTCAAGCTAATACATCCAGCCTGCGGGACCAGGACCAGCATGAGGCAACTGAGGCACTGGCCTGGGCTGCAAAAGGTTCAGTCAAGGTAAATAGTATTTGAACACAATATTTTAAAATTGAAGGTTAATGCAAAAAGCCCATCATGAACAAAACATCGACATTTCAAGTCAAGACAGGAAAGTATGCTGTGCTTGCAGAGACTGGCACTCACCCACCCTGGCCCCCGCCCTGCTCATCATTGCTCTGTGCGGCAGCACCCCCATTGCCCATAGGGCAGGTGTGAGGATGACACAGAACCATAGAAATGTAAGCACACTTGTAAATGAAAGAGCTCTCAGTAGAATAGCATCTACTATCAAGCCACATGTCATAATGTGAAACTCCTGCATTGTCAATGTTACCCTTAAAAATCCCTTTAATCTTCTGTAAAGTATAAAACACACAATTTGGGAAAATTGTGCAGTCTCTTCCTAAGTCCAACTCAGACACTTTTATCTTCGAGAGCACGGATCTGGCTGTTACTTCCCTCAAGCTTCAGATGAAGTGGTTGACTAGCATTGAGGAAGCATGTTCAAGAAATGTAGGGTTGAGTTTTGTTTTTCTAGCAGGGTGCATATAGTTGGATTGGAGAATTTAAATGTGTGTTCAGAGTGGCTCTGATGTGATATCAAGCTCTGATATTCTCCAAAGTGACAGCCAGTGATTCAGAGTGCTTTCATAGATGGGGGAGGGGGCTGGAGTCCCAGGCAAATGCGACCCCACTCCTGGTGGTCTCTACAGAACTTGACACTCTATGAACTAGTGGGTCCAAAACTAATTTAGTTGATGGGCCACCTGGAAGATCACCAAGAACTCCGAGTAGGCCCATTCCAGCTTGAAATTGGGGCAACCAGGTTACTGCATGACATAAAACCACTAATTTCAAAACAAATGTAACCCCACAGCAAGCAGGCAAGCAAAGTCTCCGTGGCTGTCCCTCAGTCCCCTGCACGCCTCACTAGCCGTCCAGCCATTCGCCCTGCTGTCCACCCGAGCTCGCCAGCAGAGACAACGGAAGAGGAAGCCATGCTAAAGAAAATGCATAGGAGACAAATGTTGGAACTTCTGCCTAGTGACTTCATTGTTCCTGTAGGTTGTGTGTGACAGTGGTGGTCAGTGTCCCCAGGCCTAGCTCAGTGCCTGGTACTAAATGAAGCTTAAATGCTGATTCATTCCAAAAATTTAAAAACCTGACAACACAAATGACTATCAACAGGTGACTAGATGAATAAAGATTAATAAATTGTGGTACATCCATACAATAGGACACTAATCAGCATAGAAAGAGATTGGATGCATCTCAAAAGCCATTGTGTGAATGAAAGAAGACCCCAAAGGGGACAAATGGCATGATTCCATTTATGTGCTATTCCAGAACAGTCGACACTCATCTATAGTGTCAGAAAACAGAGCCATGGTTTCTTGGGGTGGAGGTAGAGGAGAATTGACTGCAGGTGAGTACAGGGAAATTCTGGGGTGATAGTGACATTCTATCTTAATTGGGATGCTATAAAACATGGATCTACAACAATTCCGCCTGAGCAATCCCGGGCTAAGAGCAAATAGGATGGAACAGAGAAGATAGAAAATTAACCAAAATTGCTGTGGATGTAGTTCAGTCATCCCCTTCATTCAAGGATGTTTATTGAGTGCCATTGTTCTGCCCCAGTCCAATGTCCATTACCGGCTTTGCACCCTCTCTCTCCTACTTAATCAGCTAAAATGTAATCAACTCCTTGCACACATCCTCAATTCCCTTACCCTTCTTTTGCTTCGTTGCACTCACTTGACGAAAACCACAACGTTGGTTAGATCCAACTCTCCATGCAACTGAATGGAACTGAGGAAAGCCAGTTGGGTTGGGAGGCAGCCATTCTCCCATCTCTCTGCCTCTCCTCCGGCCTCCCTATTTCCTGAGATGCAATATTAAATTTAGGCCAATTAATAACCTCCCAATGTAACCATGTCAATGGTCTCATTTTAATCTAGTGACGTTAACTGCAAATGAACCTTAATCCCATCTGGCAATTGTAGTACATAGGTTTTATGTTCAATGTAGTCACCCAAACAACTGTCGTACTTGGCTTCCCTCATCATCACCTCATCTCATGTTTGTACTCTCAGCTGATGACCTTGCTGTCCCCTTTACTGAGAAAATTCAAGCAATTAGAAGTGAAATTCTTCAGACTCCCACCACCACTGGCATGTGCACTGAGGACTCCCCTGCCTTCCTGCGAGGTAGATTGAATTTTCCAAGCTCCCATCAAGAAGCACTCTCTCAAC